ATAAAGATAAGGAACCATGGAATGAGTAATGCGCTTTTGTGCGTGCTTGAATGTGTTTGTACATGGAGCCGGTTAGATGGATTGAAATATATTTAGATAATGCGGAGTCAAGTGGGTGACAGGAGTAAGACAGTATTTTGTGAACTAGTTTATCACCGGCTTTGGTGTGTTGTGATGGATTGAACGAGTTTTTGGTAGACCACAACACATGGCTAAATGTCTGAGTGACCTGCATACCAAACGTATATTTTTGTAATGAACCAGGAAAACCAATGAGAAGCATAGAGCCAATGAGGTAAGATGCAGACGTGAACAAACTGTTTATCAGATGGGAGGGAATGGATAACCGCCTTAGGCGTATGGCGAAAAAAGAGAGTCTTGTGACTTTTGCAAATACATTATTAATGTGCTCAGACCAAGAAAGAGAATGGTTAAGCATAACACCCAAATTTTTCACTGATTTTCCCCGACTGAGGGGTGTATTGTTAATGAATAGCGACTGGCACATCTCGAGAGAATCAGAATACAATATAATGTGGACCTTGACGGCTTGACCGCTGCCGCGTAGGCGCAGGGGCAGGCTTTAATATAAAAGGTCTATCTAGAAAGCGGTTGGATCTAACCATAATTAGCTCTGTCATCTGAATGTGTAGTTCAACTGCTGAACAGATTATTCTGCACATCATTTAGACTTACATCCGTCACTTCCTTGATACATCCAAAATGTCAAAACTATTCATAGAAGCTGTTACGAATACACCGTACGGTAAAATGTATATGGTGAGGAATGAGATTTCGGTATCGGTTTATACCGTACCGATTTTTCTCCCTTTGTATCTTGGTTGGGGAGGGGGCTCCGACCGTTCATAATGAACTTCACAATACACCACTGGTTTCGATTCAGAGCCATATAATTTGCCTTCTAGCTAGCGATATTCATATTCAGGGTGCAACCTCCATACCACCGGAATTTAGGCAGAAGAGTATTCCTTACTAAATCTATCATCGATTTGACGAGGAACGGAAACGTAACTCGGTTCTGTCGACCCATTCCGCTTGAAGACGACAGTCGTTGGGTAAAGATGTTTGCACATCCCAAATTGATCTGATTAGTGTTGACAGAGCTTCTTGAAGACCAAAAAAATGTTGTGTACTCCCTTACTCATAATGAAATTCCACAGGGTAGATTTCTCAACGGAGCTGAAGAGTACTTGGACCTCATTTAGCCTTTGGAACGCTTGACGATGAATATAGTATTGAACTTTTGTAGCCCGGACTAAGTGTATTGGTATTGGAGGGGTCTCCGAACAGGAACTGTTGTTTGTAGGCGTTTCGTAGCCAGGTTAAGCATAGTCATCATCAGTGGTACTTCGGAAAAGTGCTAATCCATAAGGTCTCTGACCTTCTATGGTTTTGTTCAAAGGCTGCCCTCGTCTGCTCGCTGCTGTTTGCCGAGCTAGTTTGTTGCGATGGTGACCTATTTGTTGGAAGCCGGTTCCCAGTTTATCGGATCCTACACCCTTTGGATGGGATTAAATGTTCAAGGTGCCCAATACACCTCGATGCCCAATTGAGCCGGTGACCACTGCCACAACCAGGAAGTTGTGTGTGTGGTTCGTACACCTCTTCATAGTTGGTTTGGAATCAGGGTTTTGGGCCAACTCCCCTAGGTGAAATAACAGTGGTCCACCAACGCGGTTATAATCCCTGATGTCGACGTTTTGTTCTCTCACTTTGGTGGGAAAAACCTTTTCGACACGAGAAGACGGTGAGCAAGGCTTCCTTGGTAGGAGGTGGTGGTGGCGCGGCGGTTTAGTCGTTGTCACCAGCGTGCTTTGGACCCTGTAGTTTGAGGTTCGAGCCTCACCACCACCACCCGACTTTGGTGGTCGACAGCTTTGCTGTCGTCCGATTAAATACCACGCCTAACCTGGCAGGGCCTTATGTAGTTCGCCACTCCAATTCCCGGGGCTTTGATTGCTGGTTTCCATCATTGAACAACGGATCCCCGTGTCTATGGTCTTTATCCCCTCTGCTGTCCAACACACCAAGGTGTGTCATAAAAAGAAGCTATTTGAGACGCTTGGTTGTATGGGAGCATTTCGTGAGGTGCAAGGGAGAGGTGAACAGCCGCAACTCGAAATAAACTTGAATCAAGGACACAACACTGCAAGTGGGCACGATTCAATTCCGGGATCATTTTGCAGTATATCAGCTGGTACTTACAGATAATACAGAATATTTTATATAGCACAGGTGTTGATCACCTAACATGGTGTCAATTCACTCTTCCGCTTACGTGGTTACCAGGCGATGCCAGACTGATGTGGACCTTTTACTGACACAGCAGGGGCTTTCGGTGCTTGATTGCTATGGCCTCTGCAAATCTTAGCACCCATCCATTGCGTAAATAACCCGAAAAGAAGTCCCGAACTCGGCTTGGTGGCTAGTCTGCAGCAGATGACGAGCAATGAATAATGCAGATGTTCTGTACGGCTGGCTTGATAGACTTGTTAAATATTTTGCTGTCGATGGGCGAAAAATAGACACTGGTGAAGTGATACTATTTCTTATGTTCATACCTTCGTGGGTTAACACATGGTGACATTGGTCAAGCCATTAAATTCACCAACCTATAGCTCCGGGGGGTCATATGTATAAGCCCCACCGCCACCGCTCTAATTTTTCCTTGCTTTTGTATCACGTGACAAACCTTTGACTGGTCGATCCCCTTTTCCCGTAAATTTGCGGATTGTGTCCAATAGAAGGAATTATAAAGAATAAAAGAGCGCGCAAAATAAATTACGTTATTCCTGGCGCATAGACACGAAGAATAGCTAAAGGATTTGTACTATCTCTGAAGCTATGCACAAACGGTATTGACAAACAAAAGTTTCACAGTGTGCACTATATGAACTGCATACAGATCCGTAATCAGTTTTTCGTCCTTGATTCTTTATTATCTCGTCTCTTTTTCTCGGCGTCGAGTCTACCAAGTGTGAGATATAACCTTGGGACATGAGGTTTTCCATTATTCATCTGACTTTTGCATCCAAAGCGAGACTGGTTTTGAGTATAGATAGATGCAGAAAATAGAATGTCAACCACATTGAAGTCGGCACTGATAAGCCACAATTGTGTAAATTAAACCCTGAAATTCTCTGAGGTCTTGGAGCTCTAGCAGACAAGTTTTGAAATCCTTACACGAAACAGAATGGTTCATTCTAGTGAAACATTCAACTTTTGTAACAATGGTTATAAAAACTGTCCCGTATCATCTCTCTTGTCTTCCTTCACGTCTTTGCCGTCATTCTATTGAAACCCAGATTATCGGATGCGGCAATTTTGTAGTCAGTGGATTAAATAACGTTGGATGTTCTTCCTATCAACGATATCCTGGAGTCAAAAACACTACATGCATGCTACTTTTTGTTTCTAAAGTCCGTATATTAGAAAATAACTCAAGATATTCATAGAAATTCTCGAGGGTGGGGGTGATAGTGACAGCTCTAGTACGTTCTAAGCAAGTGACATCTTTCGCACTGTGTGATTATGCGTTTTAGTATACGTTCTTATCAAGTGATTCCTAGAAAGTACATAGAATGCATACACTCCGTTCATATGCCCTTCTGCGTTTGTCTCTAATTATCGACACTATTGTTCGATCAGTCAATTTCACCCACAATTGTTCACTTTTATCATCCTCGGGATACAAATGGGAAGGCATTTTTAGTGGACTGCAATTGGGAAAAGGTACGCAATATCACTGGAGTGTAGTTTAGTGTTTATTCACAGGGAAAGCATCAAGTGTCCATACATTCCCCACACAACAACTTCGCTCCGGAAAATCCTGTACAAGGTTTTTACCATCTCCCTGCGCGACAGCAGTCAACTGAAAGTTTACCGGAAAGTTGTCTGCAGACTAGCTCAATGAAATCATGTCTGTCCTCTAATGCCATTCAGGTAGATAAAGGCTGTATGCGGAATAGTTCAGGAGCGTGAATTGTACAACGGAACCTTCGGTTGCTAGGGTTTCGAGTGTACTTGACCAGCTTGCTTGCTGTCCAGTACATGTTAATGTCCGCCCCTTAAATGCCCCCAAGTTGAAAGGACTTCAAAGACAATTGACCTTTTCTGACATCAGTGTTCAAGAAAATTCATTGTAGAAGATGGCTGAATCAGATAATATTTTTCATCAGTGGCATTACAGCTGATATTTGCTAGACTGCCCGTTGCACGAGACGTCGGGAAGTTGAAGCGTCCGGGTTACAATATGCTGCGTACAATACGTGTATGTTGTGAGAGTTAAACAAAAAGCAGGATCGAGTAATCAAGTGTTCCTTTTTTCTTCAATGGAGATATGAGTGTGAGTTAATGCTCTACTAAGCCACTCTCATCAGAGTAGATTAATTAAAATTGTTTTGTTTTAACTCCACTTCACTTGAATCGTGAGCTAATCCTGTCCTCCTTACCTGCTAAGTGATGTTCATTCTGTGTGCACAAATCCAAAGATCAGGTTTCTGCTTCATTAGACTTCTTGTTATTTTGCACCTAGTCCCTTATCAATCAAACGGTAACCGGAAATGATGTGAGATGACTGTAGCTCGGGATGCAGATTTTGGTGTTGATGTGTCCGTGAGCTGGAGGTGTTTGCAGACGTTTGCCTAGCCTGACCACGAAACATTTGCATGCAACACTTCCAGCTCAGAGAACACGCCAACACCAACGAATCACAACTGTTTTCTTTTCTAGAATGGCGTCCAAAGAACCGCAAAACGGGCTGGTTGGAAAAACAGAACAATATGGCATTTAACCGATAACTGGTTTTTTTGTCCAACCAGAATAGGTATGTTTGCACGGTCACGCGACTCTCTGTGTTGATCATTTGGGATCACTTTCTTTTTCGTGATCAACACTTTATTCCCCTGACACACGTCTTACTTCGTGTACAGTGTGGAGGTTTTGGCCATCAGCGAGGTTCGCCTCACTGTAACATCGTAACGATAACGATGATGATGATGATGATGATGATGATGTCTCGCGTTGTTGTTGTACACTGGTCTGTCCGCAGTCATAGACGATCGGTGAAAGAATTCATTTGGATCGAGTTTTCCTGGGGACCTTTGGCAATTTTTAATGAATGTCATCAAAATTAATTCACATATATTAATAGAATTTGTACTTTTAAGTGCTGTTTTCATCTGTTATTTCTTCAAGGAATTATTTTTATTTTTTCCAACAGAATAGTCGCCATGAAAATTCAATACCCGGGTGTCGCAAATAGTATCGATGCTGATGTCACTAATCTGATGGCTGTGCTCAATCGCTTCAATGTGCTTCCACGAGGCCTTTTTGCTGACCGAGCTATTGAAGTAGCTAAACGAGAGTTACGTGCCGAATGTGACTATTTGCGCGAGGCCGAGTACTGCAAAAAGTTTGCCACCCTACTCGATGGTGATCCTGTCTTTCAAGTCCCGACTGTGGTCGATGAACTTACGTCCAGCCGGGTCTTCACAGCGGAATTCATGGAAGGAATGGTACTAGATGACTGTATTTCACTTCCACAGGACGTGCGCAACTGGGTGAGTTTAATTTCCTATGATGCTCACTGTTTTGTCTTAATAAGTATGGGTTATGCTTATTACATCTATCACACTGGCTCGAGAACAAGCACGCTGCCAACACAAAAGCAATGATACTAATGGTAAATGAGTACAGATCATTGAGATGAAAATGGGGAAAAGTAGAACATAGAGAAGAAATGAGTGGATAATGTTTTCATAGTTTATAGTCCAACGCCGTGGTAGCGCCACCGGTGTCTCAGGTTGGCAAAACTTGCTCTAGCTTTCTGTATTTGTGATGTGATCTCTTCCCCAATACCACCTAGCTGTGATTAAGCTCCCGAGGTATTGAACGCTTTCGACTATTTCTATCTGATCACGAGAAACGGTGAGTGCAGGCACAGGCTCCTGCCAGTCTTGTATAAGCATTCGGATGATACAAAGCACATACCATATCTAGAAACCTATATCGCCATTTGGTTTAAAGCGTGTTGTTGTTGTCTGTGCAGTGTCACCCCACAAGGCGATGTCATGGGCATATTTTAAGTCATGAGCCCTGTTCCCTGGGAGTAGTTCAGCTCCACCGTTTGCTAAATCGCACAGTGTCCTGCAGAACATCCTTTATGGCAACGTTACACAGGAATGAGGATATAAGGCAGCGTTGTCGCGCTCTATGGGAGACCTCAACGGGTGGTCAAAGCTGGCCAAGGGCCCTAACCCTACCTAAGACATGACAATACAACTCTTTGAGGATCGACACATACTTCTCTGGTACTTCATTTCTCAACAAACACCTCCATAGTGCGGTCCTATCGACAGAGTCGAAGGCCGCGCGGATGTCTAAGGACACAATGATCTTTAGTCTGTGGTAAGCGTACCGGTATTATAGTAACTTTCGGTAATGCATCCATGATCGGCACGAAACCCAGCCTGCTCCTCACGCGTATTGCACAATCTAAGAATAATGATGGACGCCAACAGCTTTGATGCCATTGCGTTGGGGTTTGCATCTATGTGGTTAGCGTAAACACTGCGTGGGCCCTTTTGAAGACGGGAACAACAATCGATTCCCTCTTCCCACGAAGGAGGTAACTGTTCAGTGTTCCAAACTTGAGAGAACACAACTGACAATTCTCTAAAAAGTTTAATTCCACCATCTGTAAATAGGGCTGGAAACAGACCATCGGTACCCGGCGGTTTGTGACATCCAAGACTTGAATTACCCTGAGGATCTCCGCCTCGGAAGGTGAGTCCTTTGAGACAGACCGTGGGACGTGTACCGGAATAGCTGTATGAGAAGCTGACGCTGGTGGCCAGCTAAACTGTGCCTCAAAGTGCTCCCCCTAGTGTGCGAGACATTGCTTTTGGTTGTGAATAAGTAAGCTCTCAGCTTCATAGACCGTTTCGCCCACACCCAAAGCTTTCCTACTGGTGACTGGAATGAGAGAAAACAGCACGTTCGATCTCTGATGCACGTTGGGATCACCAATTTTCGCAGTCTCTGCGTAGGCCTGTGTTAAGTCCACGCCCCGTTTTAATTTGTGCTACGCTATGCTCGCTACCGGTCGGTGTTGACCGATGTGCGTCAGGAAGGCGCAGATAATCAGCGGAAATCCAGTGTTGCGGCACGACGTGTCAGAACACAGTTAACCAAGACAACAGAATGCAGAACCTTCTTGATAAGCCACCAGTGCGGACTAATGCCATCAGGTGTGGCTGATTCTAGCTTTTCAGCCAGCGCGTTTTGAAGGACGGTTAGAAATGCTGGTTGAGACGACTTATCATAGTCCAACCGTCGCTGTGTCGTGCGTTTCAAACGCCCACCGAAGCAGATGGACAGCTTGGTGCAAAGTACTGCGTGATCGGATTCCAGGAGAGTGCTATAATATGATCAGCAGTCTTGTATGCAGCCCTACCATTTGTGGCTTATAGTAACGTGGCCAATCTGCGTTCGTCGCTGACTCAAGCAGGTGAATGCCAAGTGACGTACCGGCAGTTGGATAGTCTGAAGTTCCTACTGGCGAGGAATAGGCGGTGTTCGGAGAATAAAGCCAACAACCGTTCCCCATTTTCCGAACGACAGGAATCTAGTTGAAATATATCCTTCCACTGAGGATTAGGAGTCGGATTCTGGCCACAACGGAAGCAATCGGAATCCGCCCACATCCCCCTTGGGCTCCCAAAAAAAATTAGTAAGAACACCCGGTCTTCCATGGCCAACACACACGACACAGGTATCTCCCTACCCATCCCTAATGAACCGAACCAATGCGCATGTGTGATGAACAACGTCCTGTCGTGGAACTGGGGTGTCCATTATTTCTATTCCAGTTTGTCATGATTCCCCCTCTACTACACAGTTTGATATAAATTGTGATTTATTACCCTGTAGAAGAATCACTGCAAACGAGCTTGTTTGCTAGCGTGTGTATTGCTTACAGTGTGCAACAAAAATATATCCAGACAAAATGTACTTTTGTTCGGTAGTTGGGTGCTAAAATAGTCACGAATTGCAAGCTACACTAGATATTCAAGTTTTGGTGGGAATTAACAATGCATTTGTTTGTTTTCTACACACGATTTGAATTACTTTTTGCTTTCGGGGTTATTGTGGTAGAAACTGCAAACGCGTCAAAATTCACTCCTGCCGCTGGCTTCCATTCAATACCATATTACCTGTTGTCTATCCAACCACAGTCTGAATCTTTGTTGGCCCAGCCTGGATGCCGGAATGCCCTGATGGAAGTCCGATTCAAACAAAATCTATTTATCTCTCTACGACACATCTTGTATCACCCGCCACACCATTTCTTGCAATTCGGCCTAATGTTTGCAAACGATTTACGATTGCATAACAGTCGTCATAGGCCAAACTTTATTTGTTCAAAGCATACTTTCGTCTCTCTTTGTTTCTGCCTTCAAGATGGATCAAATATGAGAACATCTTTTGATTGCAATCTGATTGTGATCATAGTCTAACTATCCTTTTCTCATCTCGCTTGTTTTCCAGCTTGGCGAACAACTTTTGCGACTTTGCTTGAAGGAGTTGTTTGTCTTTCGTGTGATGCAAACCGATCCCAACTGGTCCAACTTCTTGTACGATCCAAAATCCGGCAAGGTTTGTTTTACTGGTTCCTTCCGTCACTTTCTCAATGGGTTTGCTGAGAAAGTTTTACCACCCGATATTATTCGGATGGTGATTTATATATATATATATCGGCAGTAGTATCGCACAGTGTGCTGAAAAATTCCCCTTCGTCTTGGCCAAATTTCTGTATCGTTGGATTGCAGTTTGATCGTTTGAGTTCACTGGGGAATTATTTCTCTATTCATCGGTTCTGTTTAACCGTGCATGTGCTTTTATCCTCCACCGTTGAAGTGGTGCCTCGATCAGCAGATAATTGGGCCAAGTAATTGGATCTTCAACTGTCTTCCCTTTGATTTGTTGCTAGTACTCAAGGCTCTTATCGGAGACTCCAACCGTACCCTATGTTTGACGAGTAAATACAGTTTAAACTAAGGTTTAAAAGACAATGGAATACTGCACTGTTTTTCTTTCCAAGTATTTGTGATCTTATTGTCAATTGCATTGAGAAGAGTGGATAGTGATACGTCTGGTTGATTTCAATTACCACCGCTGTCCCATTTTTCTTGTCGGCTTACATCTCCGGCTCATAACAATGCCTCCAACAATTTATCAACCAATGGTTGGTTGCCAGTACTGACCAGAGCTCTAGCTTATGTTACTTTATAAAAATTGCAACTGACGAGCTATTTCCATTGATGTCTGTTTTCTCTCTGAGATCCAAATAGTGAACAATGAAATAATGGGTCGCCCAATTGCTCGAGACCTTTTCAAGAGACAGTTCCTTCACAGAGCAGGTCTCGATGAAGTTTGTTTCGAGCTACTCAGTGTGTGAATTGTACTGCCTGATGCGGTTCCCTACTCTTCACAAAAGTCCTACTAGCGGTGCCATGAGGTCTAAAGACGATCCCATGTTCACAGAGAATGCGATACCAAGCGGTATTCAATCATTGTTTACCCCCGTCCCTCCCGTGACTTACATAACACGACAGTTTCGGCCAATGGGAAGGAAAGCCATTTCCCATAGTCAACACATAAAATATATCTGTGCCTACACATTTACAAATCGGGGAGTTGATCTGGGACAAACAGGCCTCGAAGAATCATTGCAATAATTCTGTTAGATATTCTGAGCTAGATGCGTATAACTTCAGCCAACTTGACGCCGGGATTCGAACTCACGACCTTCGGATTACTGTGATGGTGACAAACAGCACATGACACAGCTATTCCCTAACCACCCCTAATTAACTGAACCAATGCGCATTTGTGACGACCAAAGTGTGAGCAATATCCGGTCATGGAACTGGAATGTTGATTATTTCTTATCCACAGTATCAGATCCAAATTTGGAACGGATGTCTTTGAAAGAACTAAAGAAGCGAGTTGCCGAACATAACGGGAAATCCAAACACCGTCCAAGAAATACATCGAAACTTAGAACCCTTGGGAGGAACTCAGCTATTGCTCCACATTCCGTTTCTGAGGACCACCCTATGGACTTATTCATATAGAGAATGATTAATTACTGAGGCATTGTTCATCAACAGCGATCCACTATGCGTCCATCGATCGGACGGGGTCCGTTTCTTAGCTCACTGGCTTGATGCTACTTGCACAACCAACCTCCCCCACACGCACAGCCATGCATACTGACACACAACATTAAATCTAGCCACACCACAAAACTGCTCACAGACTAATCCCCCAGCTCCTATGATGTCATCCTTAGCTCTTTAACCTCTTGTTTCATTCACAACTTCCATGTCATCATTTATTAACACACGCACACACACATCAACCCAATTTTTTCTTCCCCTAGACCAATCAAAAGTACCTCCAATTGATAGTTTCTTTCATAGTTTTTGTTTAATGTTCGCTTGGTAATTGACTTGAAAAAGGCCTTCCAAGAGGGTCGAAACGTCGTCAACCGAAGATTATTGCCTTTTCGGTTTTCTCTCGTTTTGGTTCATCCAAACATTCCTATACGGATCTAATTATTTCTTTTCTCATGATTTCTCCTCCCTACTAAATATTTTTACGTCAATTGTGATTTACTGGCCTGTAGATGAATCACCGCAAACGAGCTTGTTCGTTACTGTGTTTTTCTTGCAACGTTTAATGAAGTTATATACAAACCATTGCTACTTGGCTGTCGCTATCAATTTGATGCATTACTATACAGCATCGAATCCAGTTCTAGTCGCATTGCCACATATCCAGTTTAGGTCGCTTACACCAACGATGATCTTTTTATCTGAGACCATCCTTTAGCTCGTGCATTTAATTTACGCGCGTCTAATTTGCTCGTATTCTATATTTTCATCTTGGCAATGCCTCCACCTTTTGATTGAATTTTATCTTCTTCGTGGGCCGAAAGACGGCCACAAAACGTGGTTCATAAATGTGGAATGTTGTTGATTGTACAAACTCAAATGAATGTCGTCCTTGGTGCCGCTAGAAATGAATCGTTGTTTGTGTACATCACTCTAAAAATACTATTTAGCAAACAAAAGCATAACTTCATCGAAATTTGATTTTCATAATAATTTTCCCAATATTTATGTCCTTTCCGTGCTCTAGATCGTTCTGTTGGATTTTGGTGCCTCGCGCATTTACAACAAGCATTTCGTTAATCTATACATTCGGCTGATTCATGCCGCTTCCGAACGCAATCGAGACGATATACTGAAATATTCACATCAGTTGGGCTTCCTTACTGGTTATGAGACCAAGGCAAGCTTTGTTACTCATTTTTAACGTCTGACTACTGTCGGATTTTATTTCACGGTGATCAGACGTGTCATATCTTAGTAGCATACCAGATTTTTTTTCTTTTTTTAGATTGATTTGGTTCTCCTTTCGCAGTTCAAGTTGGCTTTTATTAGCACTAGCAGTTCCATTCCTTTGTGTTATGTGCTGCGACACGTAACTAAACCAGATTCGCCTACCGTTCAATAGCTTTTTGTCCATTCTAAGCATCCACTAGCTTCTTGGAGGCCCTCGAGGTCCTTAAAGTTTTCAATTAGTGCTAAATGATCACCACAAATGTTGGGTGATGTCACAGTCTCTTACCGGGATTAATCATTTTGCTACGGAAATTTGAAAAGGAATAGGTTTGAAGGGCAGCCTTGCGTATAATCCACTGAAGACGGTTTAGAATAGTGGAAGTTGACTGCATGCCCTTGGGGTACTGTGACTTAAAGTTTTGAGTATTGACAATTTCTGGGTATTCTGTTTCTCACAAAAATTAACGGTCCCCTTGTGTATAACAATTGATAAAGGAGAAGGTCTTGTTAATGTTTAAGAATACAACGACCCTCGGTCTTTTGAGAGCTTGATAGTGCTCTAGCGACTGTCGGAGGTTAAAGATTTGCTTGTCATACCCAAGACCGGTACAGAAACCGGTCCACTCTTTAACAGTGATTTACAACCCTTGAAAAATGACCATCGTTAACGGGTTTGGTGCAATCGGGATTGGAATTAAACGTCTACAGGAATAACATACTTGTTATTGGGTATACGCAATCTAGTAGCATAAATGCATACATCAAATATGAGGACAAGTTTACTCATGCGCTATAACGTATTGGATACGTCCTTTACAGCTTGATTGATTGCGAATTTTAGACAGAACCTAGTTGCCTTGTGATGGTTCTGGTCATTTATTTTGGTCACTGAAAAAAATCAGTGCAGTTTCAGGTACTTGTGCTCTGAAACTATGCTGAACCTTAATTTGTTCTGCAAAAGAAACACTGGATGTGTCTTTGGCGGGTCAGTCAGATTTAGTCAGCGCTACCATATGTCTATTTCGCTTATATTGGTTATCGGAATATCTTTACTCATTCGTCCGGTTATCTGGTGTTATGTAATCAGTTGGGAGGACTTGAAGTTTCCAACGGAAAGCAATGTGCAGGAGGATGAGACAGTCATTTCCAAGAGAAGTCTATTATCTTTATTGTGTACCGTTCTGACAATCCAATTCCTGTGTATATTCCCTGCTCATTGTGTTGCGACTTTTACGTTGCAGATCATGAACGATGCTCATGTGGAAGCTGTAAGTATTCTTGGTGAAGCGTTCGCCTCCAGTGTGCCTTTCGATTTTGGACGTCAGTCCACTACTCGGCACATTAATCGACTCATTCCGGTCATGATCGAGCACCGATTAACCCCTCCACCGGATGAAAGCTACTCACTACATCGCAAAATGTCCGGTTGCTTTTTGCTGTGTGGAAAGTTGAAATCAGTTGTCGACTGTCGTCCACTCTTTCTCCAGATTTGGAAGAGTTACCAATTCGATACTTCTTCGAATGACCCAGATTCTTCGAAATAGTCACGTTTTTCCTTTCTGTTTATAGTATATATTTTCTTGTACTTCAAGCAGCGTATTGAATAAAGTTCTTGAGTTATCTACACTCCTTTCGTTCTGTTTACCTCCTTGGATGTTTGTTGTTTGTTGAAATTCAACCCGACCTGAAAGTTCCACTTCGCTGCACCAACGGTCGTGTAAGGTGTTCACTGTTGCTCACCATGCAATACCCCCGGGATTTCATTCAGTACTGGAGTGTTGTCTTTATGTCTTCGAGAGACAGCGCAGACATGAAGTGAAAGTGTTTCAAAGGTACGGCTTTACCTGGTTGTGGCTCGACATGCATAAGCTTGCGGTTATTGTTAGCCGCGGGGTTGAAAAGTGAACCGGACCTACAGAAGGAGGGGGTTTCGGTGAACAGGAAGTAGTCGATCATGTCTCTAGACCCTGAACATTCTCATACTCCTATTGGGCGCT